CCATTAGAAACATTTTTGGTGATGTGTTTGAGTTCAAATAATAAGGAGGTGTGAATAGCTTTTCTTATTATTATAGCGGCTGTCGGTCTAAACTCCATCTGCACGCATTTAAAAATTAATTAGCAGGCTATGTGTTCTCACAGGCTATGACCAACATCTATGCCAAACAGCGAGATCCATGCTGTTCTGTAGACTTTTACCAAAATATCCATCCAAACATTCGCATTTATTATTATCACATTAGTAAGATCATTAATTGTATACTTAAGTAATAAAGAAACACAGTTCAGTCTTCAATTTTATTGCCTAAAAAGTATAATAATTTGTTTAGATGTAACAATTTGTGAAAAGTCTTTCTCCGACTTCAATTTAAAATTCACCAACTCGCATATTCTGATTTGACCCTTAATAAAATTATTTTTATTACAATACAAAACTTTTTGTATTCAAATTGCAGTTTTTAAGTTTACTTCGTTGTATAAATACAGGGCCTTTGTAAATTTAATCAAACTTTATAAAGTTTTTCTCTCAGAGTTCTGGAACTTAATGAGCCTAATTATACATACGAGAGTCATTGTCATGGATGTTGGATTCATCAGATTTACTGTCAATTAATTTCCTTTCGTAAGTACCAATTATTGAGTTGTTCAAAAGGAATTGGCTAATTATATCAAGGACTCTTGTAATAATAAGATTACTTTTAGTAAATATTTTGATAAGTTTTACTTGCTTATGCCCGCGACTGCGTCAGTAACCTTTTACTGAGGGTAAGCTTCGAGCCCCTTGGTGTGGATGTCTAGAAAGCTGATGGTGATGACTTGTAGTCCTAGTACAATTTTATCTGGATCAATTTAGCCCTTTCGGAGTTACTATAACAAACTTCCATACATCCTTTCGTCTAACTTTCGCATTTATAACATTTGTGAGGTTAGTAAGAAAAATGTAATTGTATGTACATACCATCCATATATCTTTCAATAAAATAGATCTGCTGCTGCTGCTGTGTTGTTTCATTGGGTATTACTTTTCTTACAAAAGTTGTGTAAAATTGCATTTCAGTTCTATATCAAATCGTAAAATAATTTATTTTTACTCTTGCCTTTGACTTAGAAAATGTATTGTTCGTAAATATTTCACCGTTACCTCTTAATTCTATTTTAGATGATCTCTTATAGTCGGAGGGTACTCGGGAATTCATGGAAGTACCGTTAGTATTGCGCAATACCTTTAGAATTCCTGAAAAGTATAATAGGCTTGGATTTTCTAAGTACTATTACCACTACTAGCTAAGGAGTTTATAGATCTATATATATAAAAATCAATTTCTGTTCGTTAGTCTCGCTAAAACTCGAGAACAGCTGAACGGATTTATGTTGTCTTGGTCTTGAAATGTTCGTGGAGGTCTAGGGAATGTAGGGTGAGAAAAATTCGAATAATTGCCGGGAAAACCCTTAACTCTCATGTTCATTTTGTATAGTATACCATACATACAATTCTATAAAAATATACGATCACTATAAAATAATTTTTAACTTAGTTTTGTTAAACTTATTTTTGCTTTTGCGTATGTTTTGCTTTTCTTCAAAAAAGAAATCTTGCCACAATAAGGGTTAAGGAACCTTTTTTTAATCGGACGGAGTCGCGGGCGACGACTAGTAGATAATACTTACTAAATATCCTGGTCCGTTCCTTTCGTTTAGTAATATCAAAAGACGCTTAAGGCTCAAGCTCTTTAAAAACATATTATAAAAGTTAGCAGCAAACTCGACAGCGATCAAGTCTCATTTAAACTTCAGAGTGAACAACTTCTTGTGTAACTTTTAACATTGGAGAATTTATCACTTAGCCACATTTTTCAAATGTGTTAGTTTATTGTTTTATAATAGTTTTAGAATTTAATGTATTTCACTTTATACTGAATGATTTTAAGTTTTTCAAACATTTAATCATCATCAGCTGACTATGACTATATGTCTCCACTGAGGGGCTCGGAGCCTAACCTAAGTTAGGGGTGACTAGGCCATAGTCAACGACGCTGGCCAAATGCGGGTTGGTTGACTTCACACATATCATTTTTTGAATTTCTTCTCAGGTAAATGCAGATTGCATCACGATATTTCTTTCACCGTAAGAACGTCGGATAAATGTACATCATATGTAAATCGGAAATCGAACACATTGGTACATGGCGGGATTCGAACCAAGGACCTGCAGATTGCAAATGTAATGCTTGACCCCTGAGTCAACGACGCACTAAAAACATTTACATTTTTTTATTGACTTGTCATGTCTTATATAAGAAGTTAAAAAGTCTAGATTTTATACACTTAGAATATAGTGATGAGCCTTTCGTATAAAGATCGTTGTGTAGCTTAACCCTTTAACTGGTAGATCAATTTTGTGTCTCGGAAAAAAAACTCATTTTTTGGTTTATTGTGGGCACTTTAATAACTTTTATTAAAGAAAAATAAAAACAATCATATTTAGTGGAAGAAACAAAACCATGGTGGCAATATGTACCAGTATGAGCTCTGTTAAATACTGTTCATGGATTTTCCTCTAGCAGTTGGTGAAATAGCGTCACTAAGTTTTGAGGTATTGGTGCTACAAAGTGGAAAAAATCATAAAAATCTTGGGGGCACACATATTGCCACCACCAGTAAAAGGGTTAAGTAGTATTCTTCGACACACAGGCAGTAAGGAGGAATTGTCAATAAAACAATTTAATTCCGGGGCTAAAGCTTTATTAAATTAAAAATGCAACTCAAACTTTAGCTACATTCGGGAATAACTGTTTAATACATATATACTATATAATAATAACGTGTAGGTGTGATATAATTATCTTGAAATTTGCAGGAAACAATTTAATTATAATTAACATTAAATAATATCTGAAGAATATAATATTTTCCAATAGCATATATCTTATCTACTAAACATCAATATATTTGAAAATGTAACTACGTTTTAACATTTCTTCTACTCTACGATCGAAATAACATGAATATAATTTTGAAAATGACTAAATCTACGATATAACATTTGAATATTTAAACGTCTTAATTTCTATTCGTCTAGTACTAATACACATCAAGATTGGATTTAAAAACATCAATATATTTTAAAATTTCACAAACATCTGATATATAATTTGAAATCTCTAACATCTACGATATAACTTTTAAAATGTCTTTAATACGATAATAAGATGATTATATTTATAACCCAATATCAAAGGTAAGGGACAAAAGCATAATGCGACGCGAATCAAATCTGAGGTGACATTCGTAATCAGTCGCGTCGTATGCGCCGTGCCGTATGCGTCATATGCGTCGTATGCGTGGCAATGTATTGCGTCGCGTGACGGCATATTCCCGCGCTCACCTAGGACGTTGGGTTCTTTTCTTAATAGCTAGTGCCTTTTAGTAGGCTAATTCAAAATGTAAGCAAATTTAAAGATAATTTTTTTTGTATTTTTTTATTTTGCTTTCGTAAATCTTACGCCTATCAAACGATTATATAATCCAACTTGAAACATCTAATCATTAAACCGTTAACGTTTGCGGGGTCTCTTAAGCATTAGGAATCGTCAATAACATTTATTTTAATAATTAATGTGAAACATCAAGAGAATAAGATTATAATTATAAGTACAGTACAAGATAATAATGCCTGTCGTATTCTTTTCTGCCGTCAAACTATTTGTAGATTCTATCGAAGATTTTGATCAGTAATTTTCGCAACACCCACAATCAAAGACAAAGTAAAACGGCCATTTCGGAGCTCAAATATAACTGAAAAGTTAATTAATGGCCCCCAATCAATTACCACCCAGGGATCTAGATCCCTTTGACAGTCTATCCTTACAAACGACTAAGCTTTAATTACCCTGTTCTGTAAAGAAGGATACACGTACATCCCCTTAAATGAACGCAAGATGCATCCGAACTACTGAAGCTAACAAAATTCCTTTGTAAATTAGTTATATTACAACATTTATTGTTTATAACTAATTTTCAGCATACCTCATCTTTTCCTGACACCTCAAGCTACAAGCATTTGATGGTATATGAAATTTTTTCCAGAAATAATAAATAGCCGGAATCTTATAAAATGACTGTCTCCAAATATGGTGAGATGAGTGATTAAAATAATGAGACTAGATTTGAGATCAAATTATGCTTATTTGCAAGTTGTATAGAAAATAAAATTTACGAAAAAAAAAAGAAATTGTAAAATTAGAAAAAACTTAAAATTGATAATTAATATTTGGTTTATTTTGCAATGTAACGAGATTAGAGCGTATGTTTTTGCATTCTACATTTTTTAATTTTTGTTGAAACAGTGAAAAATCTAAAGCGTTCTTTATTTGTACGTATTCTAAAATGGCCTAATTTATATAATTTTGAATTTATTTATTAGTTTAATTTTATGGAAAAGAAAAATTGATCAAAACATTTTTTAAATTTTGTTACATCTTTTTTACTAAAATTGGCTTTGCCTAAACTCTTCTCAAAATAATTTTGGTTTGTTTTTTTTTTACAAAAATATACTATTTTAGTGTTTCGTGAAAAATTGTTTCATAATGCTTAGAAAAAAAAAAGATTTTTTTATCAATTTGTTTTTTTTTTATAAAATTTTGCCAATTTTTAAATAAAACTTCTAAATTATCATAAACGTTCCAAAGGTTTATATAATTTTGAATTTAACTTAATATCAAATAAATATTAATAAAAAATGTAAACCATATTCTTTCTTTATGAATGGATTTAAGTCCCACGTTACATAACGTATTTTTGTTAATATCGCATTAAGATGGAAATTTGCGATTGAAGGACAAAAACCACAATAAAAAAGAGAGCTTAAGTTAAAGTTGCTCTATTTGTTCTGATATTACTTGATTTTTTCCATATAGATGTTATTAAACAAATTAAATAAAAATAAATAAAGATAAATAAAAACTCAAAAAATTAATATAAATAAAATAAGTGAAACCTAAAATAATTAATATGATGTTAATTATTAATGATGTTAATTTGGATTGATGATAATCTTTGAATGAATGATTGAAACAAAGATAAGATGTTTTCGATTACAATCCATGCCCAGACTATAGATATGAGTCTTTGGTGTCAGCGTCGGCGGGCGGTACTCCGGCGGCAGACATCTTGCGTCGCTCGATGCGCGCGCGAGACACCGGCCGGTAGTACTGCTCGCTCCGACGCCGTCAGCGCTCCGGTGCAGGTGCCTCTGACTCCAGTTCCATCCACAAAGAGCTGATCACACGTGCATCTGCACAAAAATATGGCGCTGTATCCAATTCATAAACTTCCAAGTCCATAAAACTCGTCCAGTACCCCGTAACATTTAATAAAACAATTAAGTTGATACCACTTGATATTTCCGGGTGATTTTGATATCTTATCTTTAGTATAAATATACTGAAATCTGTGGAGAAGTTCACTCATATTCCTTACTATGGAAAAATTGGTACTAAATAACTCTTTTCAGACTAACTTTACATTCGTTATACAAAAATGGGGTAATTATTCTGCTACATTAAAAATTAAAAAAAAAACTTTTTTTTTAAAAATAAATTTACCTGGTTTGTCTTCGACAGTTGCAGGCGCTTCAGTAGCTTCCTCCAAGCAACTCTGTTCATCGGGGAATTGTACGTGTTTCTTTACATGTGTGCGAGACGTTTTTGAAAGTGCGGAAGCTGATTAAAAAAAACGCATCATTTAGTAATTGATATCTTCTAAACATATAAAAGAAATTAGGTAAAGTTTTCTTTTAAGCAACATTAAAAAGGGACAACGCTATTTGTTTAAATATAGTGTTTTAGAAAGATTTGACTTTTATATACTAGTTTTTATTATTGATACGTTATGTAGGCAATATCTGCGGTTCTGTCGTTTTCCTTATCTATAAAAATAAATACTGTATATATGAAACGTACTAATCTTCGTTGGGACCTCGGAATGTTCCTCGGGGTCGCATCTGCTCGGTAGTGGTCGGCCAGCAGATCGACGACGGCCACTTGGTGCCGAACTCGTGGTGGTGGTGAGTTGGGCGGTCGCCGTGTATTGGACCGAGGCGAGCTACGCATTATTACACGATTAAACGTTCACTACAACCTACATATATCAAATACTATAGTATTTATACTCTATTATAGTTAACCTTTTCATTACTTTGGTAACTATAGTATATATACTGCAGTATTCAATATCATCACATCAAATTAATCTATCTCGTAGCAATTATATGGATGCAAGACTTTATTTGACAGTTTTGCACATCATGTAAAAATTGAAATCTTTGAAAAGTTATAGATATTAAATTAATATTAAATTCACTCTACACAAACTAATAAAAATTTGAATTATATAACATATCTCATTTATTCCCAGAAAATAATTATTAATAACACTTTTCTCTCTTTTCACTACAGTACTTAGTACTTATTTACTATTGGTATCGTTTTTAATATATTTTTTTGACAAATAATTATAAAGAACATTTCTGTATTTTTTAATTTCTTTTATTATATAACAGAAATGTTTATATAATATTTATTGATGCTACGAGAATAGATTAAATAAAAATAATTCGCCAAATTATTTCGCTATACGAGCCTCAATGCAAAGTAATCTGTAAGGTCTATCATGAGTAAATTTAATATTACCCAAGACCTTTTCTATAATAATTTAATATTAAAAATTCAAATTAATATTTGCAAATATATATTATTACAAAAATAATTAAATTTATTTTTTTGTCATCACAAAGTGAGCTATGCAGAATGATTATAACTTTGGCCTTGTAATCAATAGAATCGTGTTAATTTTGTTATATTTACAATAAAAAGTATAAAATGCGAACTTACAAGATTTATCCTGGTACAAACTGTGTACTGCAAGGCTGAACAAAGTCGTGTGAAGCATCGAGGTTCGTATAATCTAAACTACGACTGTCTAAACTAATCTCTAACTACATACAACTTTAAATGCAAAATAAACAATAAATAGTAATTTGACATTCAGAGAAGAGAAAACTTAAATTAAGTTGTAAATAGCAAAATAATTTTAAGGATATATATTATACACGTTCAAATAAATACATATATACGTTTTATATATACTCATATGTAGTAATAATGATATGAGTATATAAATAAAAATTAAATCAATCCAACATGGTCTAGATTTTGCAATATATATGCGATTAAAACAGTACATACTAAATATATACCGAATTCCAATTAAAAGCTAAACTATAGGCAAACTACATATATATATACTCCATAACATTAGCTACTGTTTACAATATAACTAAAGAAGTCCAATAGAGCGCCATGTTTGAAATTTGACGGGACTCTGTTTACATAATTTTGATTGCGAATCGAAAAGGATACATTATGTTTCTTATATTGTTGTATTGTAAGTTGGATTAATTTATAAAAAAAATAATAATAATTGAACAAAAATATAGAACATATACATTCTTGTATTTTAAAATATGCTTACTAGAGAGCCGTCTCTCTTATATGACGGCGAACTCTAAACACGTACTATAAACAAATCAAAAGTACATGTTATATAAAATATCCTTTATCAAATATCACATATATTTAAATGACATAACATAGATATATAATCTATAGATATATAATTCGAAGCACAAAAGTGATTTGAAAAAAGGCATCCGGAGATATTTTAGGGTATGCATCAATGTCATCAATCCTCTATTAGTGGTCAAACTTGTATGATTCAAGTCATCTATAGGTTATATATCTATTGGGCAAAAATATTCAAATATGTATTATTTTAATTTCAAATTTATTCAGGGACTTCTAGAAAGTATTTCATTCGTCTCCATATCAAATTGTCGTCTATCGCAATTCGTCTAAACTCGTAGAAAATGTTTAAGGAGTGCTGGGAAAATCGTCTATTGGATTAACAGGTTTTTACACTTTATAAAAACTTGTTTTTAACCTATAGTAAGTGTCTATGTAGGCTATATTCAAAAAAACTAATCCGTCTTATTATAAAAAATGCTAATATTAACGTTTTTTTTGCAGTAGAGTGAAAATTTACTGCAAATTGCTAAATGTCCAATAAACATATCTAAATATGTTATTCATTTTTTTTTATATCATAAGGTGGCAAACGAGCGAGCGGCCACCTGAAATCGCTGAAATAGCGAAGTGACCGTTGCCCATTGACATACGCAATTGCATATGCGTTGCCTACCTTGAATCGACGGAGGAGAGAATGCACAGAAAGAAACTATCTTCCCTTTCCATGCATCCTCTCATCCGGAAAGTCCACTTCCACTTTCCATCTTTTCCTTATAAGAAAAAGGGTTGGTAGGGAAAGAGGACTAAATTAGGCCTCCGGGACGCACACTCACGCAGACGAAACGTGGAATTGCTTCAACTTCACGCCTGTCTTATATGTGATTTAAAAACAAAAGTATTGACTTAAAACACTGTTTAGTACTTATTACGTACGTAAGAAAATAAGCTCTTAATAGATTAAGTATGCATCTTAATTCAATAACGTGAAGGTGCCTTCGTTACAAAGATTTATTTTGTTACTACAGACGCTGATGACGTCATCATCAACTCACTATACGTCACCACCGTGGGGCTCGGAGCTTACCCAAAGTTAGGCCACAGTCAACCACGCTGGCCCAGTGCGGGTTGGTTGACTTCACACATATGTTTAAACTTCTTCGCAGATATGTGTAGAGTGCATCACGATGTTTTCCTTCACCGTAAGAACGTCGGATAAATATACATATGTAAATCGAAAACCGAAAAACACATAGGTACATGGCGGGATTCGAACCCAGGACCTGAAGATTACAAGTCAAGTGCTTTAGTCCCTGAGCCACCGACGCTGATGACGTAAATTAAAAAAATAACTTTGTTAAATTATTATTTTTATAATAAGACGGATAAAGTTACCTGACTTAAATTTTCTTTCTTAACATTCGCTTCATTATTTTTTTTTATAAAATATATTAACCATACTTACGCGATCGTTGTTGTCGAAAGCAGCAGTGCCGCGGCCAGCGAGGTACTCTTGGAATTGCGAAATCACGCAGAGCATAGTGTAAACCTATAAAGACATACAAAATTTTCATACCCACTTTATAAAAGATATTAGGATATTGTAATTACCCACATGATCGTTGTTATACTAATTCCTGAAACAAAGATTAGTTATTATACGAGTATATTTCAACTTATTTAGTGCAACCGAGTCGACTTACACTCACACCACACTTATTAATTTAAATATATCACTTTTTCCGTTTTTACGTTATAGAGATTTATCGAATATTCAACAATAAAATAGTTATGTTTAAAAAGCGAAGATTATTTGCCGTTTTATTTTTAAGTCGACAAACGCCGGCTTTCGAAAGCTCTTCATCTTAAGTTTTTTACCCGCCTAGGAAAGGAATCTCTTTCAATTTAAAACCGGATGTAAGTTAATACGGAGTTTAAAACTTGATTTACTTGAAGTAGGAGAAAATTATGACACGACTTGAGTTTTATTTTTTTTATTTTTAGGCGACAAATTTAGTTGACCCAGTGCGCGAGTAACGATCGTTATATGTCTGTTAATATGTAAAACTTACTTAGAGATAGAAAATTACTCAAAAGTCAGCTAAATCCAACAACAATGTTTTGGCATTAACAGGAAGTTGCTAACGAGGTCTTCTAATATATTTTGACCTGCAGACACCGGGTCATATAATTTTATCGGACTATAACGCGTTTACACGACACGACAAATACTCTCATAATAGAGTTCAATTGTTGTACGAACAACATTGTACCGTATTGAGTACGCAGGACGTACGCGTGGTTGCGGTCAGGTTCTCATCAAGCAGACAATATGCAATCTATTTCAGTTGTATTGAAGGATGAATATGCGTACAATCACGACAAAAAGTGTCTAAAAAAAGCTCTTTGGATCAATATTAAACATATACATGAAGCAAATAATAATAAACGTTTTTTCAGACCCATATATGAGTCCATAAAAATCAAAGTACAATTTAATTACACGCAATAGATATGAATATGGTATTGACTAATAAACTAAAACGTAATAGACTGGACATCCGATCATATGGTCGTCGTCTTAAATCTTGTTAAAAAGATTCAACAACAATGGTTGAAAAATTAAAATATTATCATGAACCATATCCTAGCAAATAGCTAGAATTTGTTGGGTAAGATAACAAAATAATATTAGTAAAATTTCATATAATTTGCTAATAATTTTATCATAAAAGACAACATAATAAATAAAGTTGACTGTTTATATTTCTCCATAACGTATTTTAATATATTCTTGGTTACGTTTGGAACTATAGGTAATGTTTTCCTTAAGGAGAAGCTATCCAGACTAAGAGAAAACTTAGTATCAACTTTAACTTCAATAACACAATATTTTTAGTTGTCATACCTTCGTCATATACCAAAAGCGTTAATTGATATGCCTACTTAAATATAAATACGTTTCGTCTATCTGTCTGTATGTAGTCTGGGAAACCGCAACTTTCAAACTATTCAAACAAATAGTTTAAATGGTACGAGCGTCGAGAATGTCTTTGCCGGCGCACTGTGTGAACTACTGCGACAAACGTAAAGTCATGCATGTTGTTAAACTCAATACGAAAGTTTTAACTTCAGTTCATAATTTATAATTAATATAATGAATTTCATTGATCATCAGCTCACTATACGTCCCCACCGAGGGGCTCGGAGTCTACCCTAAGTTAAGGGTGATAAAGCCATAGTCAACCACGCTGGCCAAGTTCGGGTTAGTTGACTTCACACATACGCCGCCTTACTTTTACGCCAGATTTACTGCATACGCTTGAAGAACTGTTACAATTATTGCATTTAATTTTATCATACAATTAAAATCGAATCCAAATATTTACCTAATAATAATTTAATGTAAGAACGCGTGAAAGATTTCCTTAGACCTATTGGTGGATGCGTAGCTTAATTAGAGTGTAAAAAACTGAAAACTTACGTTCAGGACGATGATGAAAAAGTCGAGAGTGAAGAGAAAAGAAGTTATCGGGTTGAAGTTCAGCTGTTGAAAAAAAAACATTTTAATGTCAGTATTAATTTTAAAAAGATATAAATAATATGCTTGTGTAAGAAATTATTATTTTTATTGTTACATATATTAATATTCAAACAAAGTAGTCATTTTGTATTGTTGGGTAATTTTGACATGGGATAGGAAAAATTGGGCCACGAGTTTATCTTTTGAATAAAGAAGTAGGTCGCGTTTGTCGATACACCGCTTTTAGAACTTCGGTTACCATATCTACAAATAAAACGATGTCACCAATCAAATCTAGATATGAGAAAAATATGAAGTTATTAAAAACATGTCCACTCCAATTCATTTAAATTTTCACCGTAGTTATATTTTTTATAGGTATTTTTTTCGATTAGTTTTATATTTTACAAATCATTCGTTGACCTATTTGTCTTTTTATGAATAACATGATTTTTCCCAACGGAATATTCAAACAAAAAAACTTGTCAACGCATTAGTATGCTGAAGAAATTCAATTCCAAGGCATGACGAAAATATTTAAAGATGAAGTAAAATATTTAATTATTCTCGTTGAGTGACATTTTTTATCGTTTAACATTTATTGAGTTTAAATTGTTTATTTTTAATTAAACTTGATTATATAATATTCAAGCATCTTTAATGTATGAACAAAGTTTCTTTGTCGCGCCTTCACTTAACGTGTTCGTATTTCGTGTGAGACCGAGCGAGGGCGCCCTTTATTGATTTTATCATTTATTTTTTAGTTATGTTTCCTTCTGTAATTATGGAATTGATTGATAACTATAGATATTTATTCTGTTGATTGATATTTAATGTTTTATTAATTATTTTTAAAATTGGTATTATGTGTTTAGTATTTATCTTACTTCATTCTATGTATTATTTACCGTTTGCAGGTAGAACAGATAGACCAGGTTGATAACTTCAACGAGAGTCTCCAGTGCCATCGACACGATCCACGGCAGCAGCAGAAACTTGATGTTCTATAACAATATGCTATATTATACATTAAAGTATTTATTAAATACATATTGTACATCAAATAAATTGTATGCCAATTATTTTTACTTCCATTCAGTTCAATAACTCACGCTTGTAACCAAGAGGTGTAGACAGTGGCCAGGGATCTCTATTTGGCACGGTCCTGACACGCCTCTCTCGCTTCTTCAACATTCATACTATGTTTGAAAGATTTTTATCAATCTAGACGTTATAAATCCGTCTGGATGATATTTATATTCATTTATTTGAATAACTATGGATGTACTAGTTTATTTTGTAAATTCCCAAAAAAAACAATAAATTTTAGAAAAGGTTCCAATGAACGCGCATTTTTATTCAAAGTGATAAAAATATTTAACAAACAAAAAAATGTTTTTTTTGGAAACTTTGTGGTGACATGATTGTGAAAAAATGTTCTTTTATTCCGACTCTTGTTCACGAAAACTTTCATACATCAACTGATAAAATCGAGCGGTTATATATAACCATTTATATACTTACTTTACGCTGATAATTATCAAAAAATATTTGAAATAAAAAAAATATTTTTTTTTGGTCTTATTTCGATATTTACAAATAGTCAGGGAAAATTTTAATTTATTATATCAATAGCTTTATAGGGGTCAGTGATCGTTTTTATTTTTAATTTATTTTCTTGTTAAGTTTTAAATCTATAAATTGAATTCTAAAGAGAAAACTTAAACATAATTATATTTAGTTTCATTAGACTTGGCTAAAAAATAACGTTATATTTTATTATATTTACGTTAGTTACATAACCATACCGAATAATCATGCACTGCCTTAAAATCTGTGTTTAAAAAAAGTTTAACTCATTGTCTAAAAAAAAATGTTTTTGCACAAATGTTTCGACGATGAAATCTCTCGGTTATACCTAAATACCGTAACTATTGGTGTTGTGGACACAATAAAGAGGTCAGCGTGTTAACAGGCGATGTTGTGAGTATAGTCAACATTAAATAATAGTCTTTTGTAGACACTAGTTCACTAATAAAATAAAAATATGAAACAATATTTTAGGTAAAGAGGACCAATGTCTATTATTAATCGGCTTTGTCTTATTATCTATTAAATGCTATACAAATAATAATGGTATACCGTTTGATATTACTTTCCTGATACCTTACTTATGTCTTTAATCGATAATTAATTAGAAGTAAAAAGCTTTTAAATAGTTAAAAAAAGAATGAATTTCGTACAGTACAATATAACACGTGAAAACGCGAAAATGTTGTGAAAAAACAAATCGAAACGCGCCGCTCGGAATCCGCTAGGCAGTGTTCAAAGGACTTCCTGACAAACCATCGCACAAAGCAATGTTTCCCCTCGTGTTTACAATTCTAGGAAGGCTGGCAAAAGGACATATGATGCATACAGTGCAGTGGTGCATTATATTTGGTTTAAATAATTTTTATTCTATAATAATTAAATGAAATTTATAAAAAAATTGAGTTAATGAAAAATTTGTTTGATACGAGTTTACAAATGTACAAAGATATTCGAAAATAATTGTTTTAGAGCGGACATTATAAACATTTTATTAAGCATAAACTTTAGTAACTCTATCACCATCTCAAGTGTCAAAGTATAATACGAAACTGTACCGAACAGTATAATTTTGTATATTATGTCGTGTCTATTAATATTGAAATATGTGTATAAATACACAATTTTTTCGTTTTAAATTAAAAATAACATAGAATAAAATCGTATTTCTTGTGCTCTCTATTAAAACATTTATGTAGATCCCTTTCACTTTTTTTTGCTTTGCACAAACAATGAAAACAATATACTTATGTTCAGTTATATCAGCTATGAACAGTCACGTCGAAAGTACACAAGTTTTCCACCTAATTGTATAATGCGTATGAAATCACATTATCACCGAAATGTTTAGAAAATTAACGTGCGGGACTGTACATACCTTGTAAACGCCCAGAATTAAAAGAGCGCAGGAAATGAGTCCCAAAGTGCTGCAGGCCAGTAGAGTGATATTCAAAGATACGGTAACTGCAACAAAAACATCTCAAAAATCATATACACTGTAATGATGAAGCCTTGATAACGTAGTTCCTCTGTTCGATGTCTCTTCACCATTGTTATTAGTAGGCAAAATAATCTTTTTTTCAATCCAATCGTATTCCTGTGTCTTGTTCTATGCTATAAATTAAATATTATTCGCACAGCATAAAATAACAACTATATAAAAAGTCACATTCTACGTCTACTTTAATATAAGAGACATAAATAAATCAATACATTTATTACAATAATAAAGCATTCGTTATATCAGAAATTTAATTAGTTACATGGACCACAAAACCTACGCCATTATTCGAATAATCAGTCTGGCATAGTACAGTTGCAATTAAAAAAATACTGAAACAAATAACAGGCGTAGTTCTGCGATTCATTTAAAATAAAATAATAAAACATTGTGAAACTAAACTAAGAATACACAATGAATACTTTAATAAAATGCAACTAAAGTAAAAATTTACTATTATTACTTTACAAAGCTAGTTACAACAAACACTAATATCTAACATGCTAGTATATTGTAAAAATGACATTCTAACTAAATGGATAATGAATTCAATATTTTATGAATCAATTACAAAAGAGCTTTGATTTGCGACAAAACATTAAACACTGTTATTTGGTAATTACCAGAAAAAATATAACATAAATAGTTGTTGGTAATAATCGCGTATTAGAAATAAATATGCGACTCAACAAAAATATCCTACAAAAAACCTAATTAATGGTCAATATATTAGTGTGCGTACGCGCACACACACATATATAAATCTTAATTACTCATAATAAACCGTATTGAAATTTACCTACTCCCAACATATGACATTAAAAAGACAATTTTGTAAAACTAAGGTACAATTTTAAGTAAGGTAACAATTTTGTAATACGTTTTTTCAGGATTTTTTAAAATCTTTAATTTATTATTTGTCATCTTTGATTAAGAAATAATGACTGTATATTTAACATCTTATATGTATTCTACATCATTTGAATTTCTTCTGGTAATTAAAAAATAACCGTGTATGATACGTGCATTTGAAAAAGTAAGATCTGGTCAAGTGACCACTTGCAATACAAAAACAAGGACACTTGGTTTTTTTTAAATTAACAATTTGCGATACCTTATCATTGTTACCTTTAGCCGATTTTACATACATATATTTTCGCTTGACCTTCCTTAAATTTTCGTATACCAGACGTTCAAACAATGCGATTTTTATCCGTCCAAAAACAATCATTCTTGTAAAAAATATCTCACCGAACTACACCGTTCTTTTTAACGTCGCGCCTTGTATTCTAAACGTTAAAATTGGTATTTATCTAAAAAGTCCTGTTTGCAATACCTGACTCTTGTTTTTATGTAACTATATTTTGGGAAAAGTATATAATGTATGTTCTCTAAAAATATTTATTCCATGAAATTTGAAAACAGGACAACGTTCCTTATCAATGCAAAGACACGCTTACATATCCTAGCAAACTCTAACATCATGAGATATTTTTTCTTACAAACTTTTTTTACTACCTCACCCATGTTTTGCTTGAAAATTTATTTCTCACCTATCTTACCTTCTCTCTACAAAACAAAAACTAGTACCGCATTAAAAATCATTTGTAGTCACCTTTAAAATCGTCTGTACTCTAAATGCTTAAAGTAGTCCGTGTATCACAACCTTTATATCTATATAATCGTTATTATTCTGAACCCTAAGGTAATAACCTACCCTGTCCATTTAAATTAATCTTTATTAAGTATATAAAGTTGCATGTCTTATGTATTATCGATTTAATAGGATGAAGCCACTAGAACACTGTCGCGAAAGTGAAGCGTAATGCGAATGACATGGAATGCCAAATTTGAACACAGAGTTACTTAAGATTAAGCGTTGCGCTGTAAGCCCAGCTGATATATGGTACGCTAAAAAGAAACCAAATCTATGCTTTGGTAGTATTTCAATAGAGTTTGCTTTGGTTCCGGTTCGCTTAAGCGGCAGTGTATTAGAGGTTTATTTGCAGTTCTGAAATGGTGTACCTTACCGCATTACCTAAGGTACACGAAATGAAAAATATTTTTTCATAATAACTTACTTAAAATCGGAACTAACTATGACACTCAGAGAAAGAATACAAACCGCATGACCGCCTCATCAAAATTGATTCAGACGTTAAGGCTACAGGCAGCCAAAACTGTATACACAAACCTACACGCGAAAAACATTATCTATCTAAGGCAGTCGGACAAAAAACAACATTGTTACCTTTCCTTAGAATCTTCTCATTTAATAATATCAAGGAGAAAGCGATTCCACACACATATCTTTATGAAATGCATGCAGAGTGATCGCAAAGTATTTTCTCATACAAGAATACACCAGAAGAATGATAATGCTGTACAGATTATCTAATTCATTCTACTCGTATGAAATGATGTGTAAATTGAAGCAAATAAAATATGAATATCAGCATTTAAATAATATAAACAAATGGTCAGTATGTATGATATATATAAAAGGACATACCATAGGGATGTTCTAGCTGGAAGCGTCTGACAAAGCTGGGGCTTTTCTTTTCTACAAGCCACAATTTCGCAGTACGCCACAGCATATCAGGGACCGTGTCGTTTGCAACGCCTCTCCCGTAGAACAGAACTGGGGAAATGATACTTAAATTTGTATCGGATCTTGGAACAATGACACAGTAAAATATAAAGAAGTTGGCGTGTATATTCCTTACTTACTGTTGTCCAGAACGATTTTACGATGCCAAAGATATTATAATTTTGAAAAAGTTCTGGAGGTGTATTAATCTTGAAGACCAATTTGAATTTATTCCTGATTCGATAATTAAGATAAAAAATCAATTACGTATAATAAATACGTAATCGATTCTACTTGGGTCAGCAACACGTCAACTTCGAGTCTTTATCAATCGATGATTAAATCGTTTGACGAAGGCTGAACAATAAAATTCTTATTCATACATATAATTTATTATAGTAATATTAATTATAGTTTTTAGGTAGATTTAATTTAAGATGATTTTCGTAAAATGCTAGTCACGTTTGCTTCAGTTGGAAAATTCAAAAGATTCTGGATACGCCGACTTGAAGCTTTAATTTCCAGAAAAATTGAGAAGGGAGAGAGATGAAAGAGAGAGTATTCATTGTGCAAAAGAGGGATTAAAGAAATTAGCACAAATACTTCTATGATTACCGCTTACAAAATCAGGAATGAAAGTTCCAGAAGATTCTATCTCCGATTATTCAATTCTCATATACATTTATCTGACAGGAATATCAGCCCACTATGAGGCCGAGGACACAAATAACAACCACATTTAGATCAATAATTTGACATTCCTTAAAGACTGGTATTTGTAAATAACACTGGAAGACGAAATAATTGGTATAACGACAGAAAAAATCTTTTCATTATGAAAAAAAGTAGATTTAATTGCAAAAAATCTATCGATATAAAGAAGCAAGTCGATGTGATAAGTATTTCTTAAAATGAAAATACTTTATTCAAAAGTTGTTTAGAAAACAATAAGCCAATTGGCGTTTATAATTTGAGTGGCCACTCTAAATAACAAACGCCTTTTTCTGAAGAAATTTACAAAACACTTAGTTAATCGTCTTTAGTATAAATGCTCAAAGAGGATTTCGGAAAAATATACGTCCATTTTATATGATAAGTGAATTTTAGTGTCCTTTTTTGTCACTATAAGCTGTGCCCGCGACTACGATCGCTTGAAATACTTGTCTTCTGGTAGCATTTTAATTAATTAGTTTACTTATTTTACTTAAACTTATAAATGTTTACCACATAACATTATTTACAAAAAATTCAAAAAACCTTACATATTCCCATACAAGCTTTCATCCCTTATTACTTATTGTTATTTTTCACCCTTGAGGGTGAAACTTTTGAATGTCTTATTTATTTATATCAAATTAATAGCCTAAAAATAATTTTTGAGATTCGAACTATAAAAAAGATACTTCCATACAAATTTCAATCCCTTTCAACTCTTATAGTCCTTTTTTTAATTAAAAAGTAGCCTATGTCCTTTCTCAGGCTGTAGACTGTGTACCAAATTTTTATTTAAATAAGTAATTTTTACGAGAAATCTAGACAGAATTACTTTCGCATTTACAATATAAAGTAAGGATTAAAATAGATAAATCAACAAAATATGATAGGATAAAATTAGAATGAGCAATAACGAATCCGTAAAGATTAGAATTTAATTACGAAAGACTCTAAAAAATCTGCTTTGTAATTAACACAAGAGTTAAGACTATGATAAAAGAGCTAGATTATAATGCATGTTATATAGGAAAACCTTAAAAATAGCTATAGTTCAGTGCAGGTACTATGTGAACAGATTTATATTGGTGACTAAGGTAGTGAGATATTAAACAAAGTAAAAAAAAATGTGATGTGCAGGAAATGTGATCAGTTTCATGCAAAACAAAAACTTGCAGATTGCAGTAAATTAAATATCTTATTTACATCCATTGAATATATATTCCATGTTTTCTTAAGATATTTTTTATTTAAATAAATATGAATAGATAAATAATTAGAATGAAACGACTGAAGATCATTAATGTAAAAAATAGTTTTATGTATGACTTATGGTAGGATACTTATGACGAAAAAGATAAAGGTAAGATATAGTTAATATAATAAAAAGTAGAAGATAAATAAAGGATATATCAGTAAATCAGCCATTTACCTAATACCTTCCAACTATAGAATTGTGATGTAACTAACTTTTAGATTTTAGAAATGTTCGATGCATTTGTAACTAAATTTTGTAGTATTTGGTTCAACTTTATTAAAGAACCAAATTACTTTAAATTCCTTTTTTCATCTATAAGAGTATAATATATGTAAATCTTAATATTTTTGTCGCTTGAAACTAAATATATTTTTCATGTTTAAGCGACTTTTCTATTAAACCAAATGGTTGAGGGTTAATAAAGATAAAATATTTGTTCAAAACTACTTTAAGAAATTAAAAAAAAGTAGTCTATAATATGCCCGGGAGCATCAGCAATCAAGTCCCGTCAAGTCAAGTCGTTCCGGATAATACTCGGAACAGCCGCAGCATTCCGGACAGACGGACAAAAATTAAAAAAAAAATTGGTGTCATTATCAGCAACGAAAACACATCACGTGTACGATATATGATTTTTTCTGGATATTATACAAAGACTCCAATTACAATAATATACATGGATTGTTAATTAGTAAAGACACAGTTTTACATTACTGTTAAGACAATTCAATGAAAACCTTATTAAATATCCTCTCGTTTTATCAAACGACTTTTGAAAGCACAAATACAGTGCGAAAAAATGGCAACGACACATCGTTCCACACCTCTTTTATAATCTTATACTCACTAGATGTATTGAAAAATGGAAATGTTCGTTATGAACGATAAATTCCAACCTCTTTTATATGGAATGTTTATGTCTAAGGAATGAGATATTGCTAATAGCAACATGGAATCATTTTCAAATGGAGAATTAGTAAAAACTGTAAGCATTACTATGAAAGTTAGCTAAGCCTTTGGACTTTGCTGTTAGCAGCTAAAATGTTCTAAGTTACAAAGCGAAGAATGGACCTTATAATGTCCACGAACGATAACGACTATGTCGAATAAAGTCACTGTTAAATAAGATTCGAAAGAGACGTTACCATAAAAATAACTTTATTGTGTTAAGATATTGATAAACTAAAAAGAATTTTACACTTTTATTATTATATATCCACTGCTGAAGTATGTTTAAAATATATATTAATTATCTTTAATCTTTTTGGTTTATCAATCTTTGTTTTAATTGTGCTATTTCGTTAAATCTATACTAAAATTAATTTCGACGACCAACAGTAAGTCTATGTTTCTTTAAAAATGCTAAAATATAAAATAAAACTATTTGTTCTGTTCTGAAAAAAGGAACCTTATATCTTTTAAAACTTAAAATATCACTGTATACATCTAATTCGCTATAACTTGTATATAAGGCAGGTATTAAATTAGCTGTAACTTTTTACATATAAAATCTATTGCCTTTATCAAGAAACATTATCCTAAGTAAGCGATAATTCTTATTCATATTAAAGTCGCGGGCGAGGACGCGTGTGCCGGTGAGCTAATGATAGTCTCTGTCGATGTACTAGCGGCAATAACAAATATATGATATTTTATCAAAGTGTTCACATCTAACTAGCGGAGGAGCTCGCGATTTAAACGCAATCTAAGTATAATCGGTTTGACGATAACGCCTGGAGCAAATGTGAACACGCGCCTGCGACTGCGCTCGCGCCCGCGCCCTCGAATTCGTAATACGACGCAACGTGATGCTTAAAAACTAAAGAATTATATTTGTAGCCCACGTTGCTTATATCATCTTTTATGGATTATTTATGTTCTGTCGCATATTATGATCGCGTTGCGTCGCGTTTTTCGTTCACCTAGGTTAATGATTTATCTTGGTGAATAGTAGGTTACTTATTTAAATCTTTTATCAGTATTGCATTTATTTGTATACAGTGAAGCTTACTGTTGATCGTAATATGGTAACAACATGCTAAATTCATTTCTTTAGCATTATTTGAAGCTGTTATTGACCAGCCCAAATCTGTACTATACCTTTATACCCCTTGAAAAGTTTTTGATCAAGATTTGAATATTCAGGCCGTTGATTTACTGTAACTATTTTCGCTAGAATCATTAGTTTGATTAATTTTGTTTCTTTATTTATTTCCACTACTTGTAATAATTGATGTCATTAAAAAGATCTCATAAGCCAATCAGGATCTTTATGTACGGCAATTCATTGTCTCTTTATATTAAAAGGAATTAGAAAGAGACAGTAGATTAGTCTACTGCCATTTTTTTTGTACTTAGGAGATATTCTTAAGATTTCATGACCCATAACCCCATTGGTACTAGCTGACTGGGATTTGAAATCCGAAAGTCAGGTTACACGTTGACTGACGACACTTAACCTATTGCCTATACTATCAATATATCTATTTAAAACTTACTGGGTGTAATCTTGTCTGGCTCCAAGAAGCTCTCCGACTCGGGTTTGGTCATCTGCCCCGACAGGTAGCGATGCTCCACCTCGATGAAGTGACCCATGGTGACAATGGTCACGATAAAATATATCTATAGAACAAATATAAATTAATCACGAATACTAACTAAACTAAGGAACTATACTAAGGATTCAACTTAGCATCATTTAGTTAGACTATAACCGTAGAAAAACGTCGTAATGCCTTATCATAGATGTGTTTAAAGTAAACGAAAAATATGTAAAAGAAAATATGTTTTTACTAGGTGTCGCGCGTGACTCCGTCCGCAGGATTAAAAATAGATGTTGGCCGATTCTCAGACCTACTCAATACGCTCACAAAATTTCATGAGAATCGGTCAAGCTGTTTCGGAGGAGTATGGGAACGAAAGATGTGACACGAGAATTTTAAATATAAGATAACGGATAGATTTTTTTAAGTTTACAAGATAAAGATAAGTTACATTTCAGTCAACTCGAATTTAAAATGATGTACATTTTTATATAATTACCACAATACCAAAGGAAGTTATATTTCTGTGATAATAATCGTATATTTGTTCTTTGAACATCACATACCGATTCTTGTACAAGATGTTTAATATATTTAGGTCAATGTCCTATACAGATGTAGATATATTAAGCAGTGTGTTCTCGCCTTTCGGCAAAGGGCGAAAATTAGTTACGGATGTATTTAATCCGGCACAAGCTTCACGGAATGTTTGTTTCTCTTACAGATAAAAGGGACGTTCCTTATAATTTCCTTTACCATCGATCTTCTGTTGTATTACATTGATCGAGCAAATTTTATTTTATTTAGAAATGAAACATAAATACTTTCTAATAAGTAAAATTGCATCCTCTTCATTATATGTTGTTTAATAATTTTTTTTGTTTGTTAGCAAGTTGTAATGATAACAGATATACTGCATTAAATAACATTAAAAGCCTTAACTATAAAGGCTTTTAAGACTCAGCTAAATAATTTACTCTCTATTATATGTATTAGAATGTTTATCCTTTGCAAAGAATCATACATAATCGTTTTTCTGTATTCAATTCATTCTAAAAGTATACAAAGGATTGCAACGTTTCCTTTTGTACGAAAAAATCCCGAAAACAATTTTTATCCGACTGACTAAAAGATAATGTGTTTGCGCGTATTTTTTTAGTTCCTTTTCGTGTAAGTTCCTTTGTGACAGCCTAGAGCCTAAATGAATTAACCGATTTTGAAGATATGACATTATATCTTCTATCGAGGAGTGTCATATGGTATGTGCAGTATATTCCGTCGGTACTAAACCAATTCAGTGGACGTAATAGAATTCCTTATTAGTGTAAAACGAGTTCAAGTCTAACTCACCATAACTTTTTTTAACATTGTTGAATCATTTTTTCCTGTATTTTTCGAGTAAATTCTAAAATAATAATGTGTTTTATCTTAAATTAGAGCTTATTAAGATTATAATTTAATTTTTTAGAAATCATTGTTTTAAAAAATAACCAATAGATGGCAGTGTCATTATTTAGAGCCGCAGTCAGTCGGGATTTTGATATTTATTTTTCTACAGATTATTGAAAGTGAAAATATTTCTATCGTTGTTATATTTGAGTATTAAGTATTTATGAGACAAAGATGGCCTTTTCACGAAGTCCTTATGTGTATCGATTATACATTCCAACAGGTAAATTATGTGACTATTCCAGACTTTTTATGACGCCATTACATAGGTTTACAACCTTGTTTAAATTGCTTTCAAATACTCGTATACATTTGATATTCGAAGAAGACTGTATGACATATGTATATACGTTATAATTACAAGTACATAAGGCCATTAAAATTAATTAGATTTCTAATCACTTTCTTTTTTTTTCCCTACATTTAAATTGTAGTAGACGTATATTATAGTTTTAGAATTGATTCCTATCAGACTTGTATTCATTTTTCTTTGTAATATTTTAAACTTGATTATAGAAAATTATCAAAACACTCAATATTGATTTAAAAGTACGGACCTCTTTCGCTATGGAATTATTAATCGTGAAGCAAGGAATGAAAAGGAGGAAACACTTCAGCCAAATTATGAATTCAATTTCCTATAGGCGAAAAATATCGATTCATTTTCTTTGCGTATTACATTTCTAAATAATTTGTAACAACTTAAAAGTAAATTATAAATAATTTCCATTCAATAAATAAGACTTTATATTTGAAATTCATTAGAATTACTTTAATAATTTGTGTTTTATTGAATAATGAATACATTATCAACGAAACAATACTCTTGGAATTTATTTGTATCCACTCACACTTAACATTTGACTGCGTAGTGTTTACTTAGCTTTTTCTGTCCTAAAATGACGCAAACTCGATCGATGTAAGTTGATCTTAGGCGTTCCCTGGCTATCACTTTTACACAATAGTATTCCGTCAGTCTTTCTTATTCAGTACTTCTCAAAAGTCATCAATACTAATAATGGTGGATATTCAATGATGTACGAATACCAATATTAAGCCAGATTGGCACTAAAACGATAGGTATTGTAACTAACTTTCCATTACAAGACATTTAACCCTTATCTTCATTTTGTATAGTATATCATACATACAACTTTATATAAATATACGATCACTATAAAATAATTTTTAACTTCGTGTTTTTTAACTTTGTTTTTTGCTTTTCTTCTTAAAGAAATCTTGCCACAATACGGGTTAAAATGACCGAAGAAATATAACTTCGGAATATTTGACTAAATTTTCTCTGATTTTTTTATATATTTCAAGAGGCATCACTAACATTACATAACTTTCGAAACGCGTTTCATAGAGGTATTATTTATCTTTGGTAAACTTATAATTTTATGTAAATTTATTGACCTAGATCCATAAATTCCGAGAGCGGTTTATCATAAATCTTTTACCGTTGATCCATATCCTTATTTCTTTTATGACAAAGCGTCGCGACGAAATCGAAATTAATTTTCGTTCGCGGAGATACCATTGGTAAATTTGGAAATGGAAAATTTGTTATCATAAAAATAATATGTTACTCTATTTAATTATAGTACTGTAGCTTCGACGCTATTTAGATCTAGACTATAAAATGCTATCATTATCGGTTAAACGTCTTTTCACATATATACATGTTTAGGTTATGAAATTGGATGTGAAAAAAGATAAATAAAAAGTTTGTCAATGTCTTGAATTGATGATGATGATGTCAATGAACTTTTTGGAATTCAAATATTTTAAAACGAAACTTAAACGCAGGTCAAATATTTCAAGAAATATTTGACTATCATAATCAATATATAAACAGAGCCACATTCGATTAACAATATCGATAACTTTCTATACTGTTACCTGCACTCGAGTTTATATCTTAACATATTTTGATGTTTCTACATGGTATATCGATTATCAAATGTAACTCTGTCAACAAGAAACTGTATATGTCATGGAATAACTATTTTATATCATAATAATATAATCTATTTACTGTTTAAATTATTATAATTACCATAGTATATAAGGCCGATGCATAGCACCCGCGCCGCAAGCTACGCCAACAGCAACATGATTTAATAATCGGCATCTTGATAGTTTTTGCTGATCCTAGAAACAAACATTAATCTTACTAATAATGTAAATGCGAATGTTTTTAAGGATAGATATTTTTTAGAAGGTATCTCTAGAACGACTGCATGAAACTCGCTGGTATTTGTAATTTTTTTTTTATTTCCGCGCAGACTGAGTCGCGGGCGCCAGCTAGTTAATAAAAGAGTTGTACACAAATACCACATGCACATACATGTGTGCATAAAGTATTTATCTGTGAAAGTAGTAATCGTGCGCATGCATTGCCGCTGCCGTTAATCTGCGCTCAGTTTAAACTTACATAGTGTTGAACTTTTTGTCAGCGTCGATGTTAATTGGGCTCTTATTATTTTATAAATGATAAATTTAATGGCATTTTAAATCTGGATTACTGACAAAGGTCAAAATAAATGAAAACCGCTCATCCAACTTCTATATTTATATCGTATCGTTAAATTAGTGGGCACAACTTTATAATTAGATTACTCGCATCACTACCTTTCCAAGTTTCTTTGATATTATTCAGGAAAGTGAAAAGAGGTAACAAAAAAACTTGCAAACTTATTCCATTTTCATCAAACTAACATTTCATGATACGACGGAACAGAATCTGGGAGATAGAAATCTTTTCCTCCAACTTTCCTCGAAGGAAGGAAGTAATATAACAAGAAGCCATAAATTCTAACATGATAAATGCCTATTGTTTTTTTTTCTTTTAACAACTTTGATTATTTCATTCCTTTAAATATCTGAAACATTAATTCGAATTTAGACGAAATATAATTTTTTAAATTTGCTTATATTTGTAACATAAACCGCTGTATATTTGATATAAATTCCAACATCTTCACGCATTTTTGAATAAAGGGTCTTGACAGACGGACGGACGACAAAGTGATCATATAAGGGTTCCGTTTTTTTCCTATGAGGTACGGAATCCTAAAAACGTGTAAATTAATTGGTTCTTTTTTATTAGCTGCGATGCTTTAGATCGCGTCGTGTTGCATATCATCGCTATGTAATAAATAAAAAAAACTATAGTAAACGTCAACGATTTCGCTCACGCGACATTCCCAGGTTGCGGAAAATGCTTGATCAATAGTATTAAATATTTGTCGGTCTTTAATATTATATATTATATCATAGGAAGAACGATATTTATAAGATTTGTATGTATGTACAAGAGTATCAATTTCGTAACTCTGGACTGAGGGTAGTTGAACTCGATGTCATTACTCTCGTGTTACTTCGTCGTCGAAATGTCCTTATTTCTGACCGTCTGACTTTTTCATTACTTGTTTCATACTCTGAGACTTATTGGCGTGAAGTTAACTAATGTTTTCATAATAGAACTATCTGTCGCCCGCGACTCCGTCCTCGCGGAATTAAAAATACGTCGTAGCGTAACGATGTATAGCCTAAAGCCTTCCTCTATAAATGGATTATCTAACAAAAAAGCATTTTTCAAATCGGGCCAGTAGTTCCTTAGATTAGTGCGTTTAAACAAACAAACAAACAAACACTTCCGCTTTACAATATTAGTGAAATAGGATAAGAGACAAATCTGTTGTTTGAGGCAATAAGAATATAAACTCCATTTTTAGTCGACTTAGACAGAAGGAGGTTATAAATATGTATTTCTTTTATGTGTGTTATCACGTAACTCCTCCGCTCCTGGTGTTCTGATTTTAAAATTTATGAAATAAACTCCAATATACAAGATTCTTAAAAGTTACATTAATATTAAATCGGCATAAACGAAAACATAAATGTTTTGATAGTAGGAGTTGGTTGTCGGTCTTCTCTCCATGGTAGATAGATGTAAATTGTCCATTTCTCTTTGACTAATAAACGTGGTTTAGGCTAATCGCCATTTGCGCCCGGTCTCCTCAAGTCCTCAAGCTGTGCCCCTCTTCAAGGCAAACAATGACAACTCAGTCACAAAGAACTCTTATACTCTTAATCAAATCTTTAACCATTTGCCTCGGTAAGATTTATTGGATGTGAAACTACTGAAGCTTTGTTTAATTTGCTCGTACATTTGTATGTGACGTATTGTTTGAAATTAATAAATAGGACCAGTAACAGGGCTGTGCCATTAAAGTAATCTTCATATTTATATACCATTAATATTCTCATTTGTCAATATCTCTCACTCTCTATTGTCTCTCTCTATTGTGATGTTTTTATATACATAATTTGCTGTTCTTTTATTTCAACTAATATATACGTAATTCCTTTATATTCTTCATCTGGAGAAACGTGAAACGTTCTTGTACTAAACTACTATGTTACAAGCAAAAAAGCCTTCTAGTCGGGCCCGTGTTGGGATTGAAAAAAATTGTACCGACCCATTTTACGCCTATCCATTATCACGCTAACTTAAAGCGGCCTGAAAGAGCAAATAAATTATAGCTTGAAACATAACTCTATATAAATGTATGTGTTCTGATGTTCTTCATAAAACTTTGTTAATACGATTCGATTAAATTGAAATTTCTGGGAACATAAGAATATTATATCAGGTTATTTGTTCCGAATTTATTCTGATATAACTCTTTGTATTTTTTCACATTCATATTTGTATAATCCTTTCATCCGGCATTGTCTGTATTAATCATCTTAATAAACTATTATTTCTAAAAGTAATAGATTACTATGAATTTCCTCAATAAGTACAAACAGTTACAGTTGGTAATACAGAAAGCATTGATTCGTGAAAATTGATACACGATAAAAATTACCATACGTATTCTTCAAAGATATCAGGTGGAATTTTTATCTCACATTTAAAGCAAAGTGAGACATATATTTCTCGTAATTCACCGTAGGAAATATACCCAGCGTTGCTAGCGTTGAATTGTTGATGTTCTCTCGGGAGAGCATTGAGTTTTATAGCTAAAATAATATGTATGTTTAAATTTCTTTAATTTTTTGCTATAAAATGTACTGATGCCTCTTCAAAATTGTATTGGGAACAATCGATGTTAACTTTACTAACATATCTGCAGAACAGCGAAAATTACGATGAAATTTGAAAGAAGACATTTGGAATTGCATATGGTTCCCATGGGATACCTTTGATTAACATATTTAATGAACAACTCTACAAAGACTCGACATATTAAAATTTGACACAGATATAGAAAATAGTGTCAATACAAATTACTATGCGTGATGTTTTTTTTATAGATATTTTTTAATTATATTCATTTTTAAATCGTCTAAATTTTAACTAGCAATGTACAGCCCTATTTCTCGACGTGCTCAACTATTGCATCGAATGATTTATAGTGACAGAAAAATTGAATTATTATCCGTATTATGTCCAATTCAAATAAACAAATGGATTATGTATGGACGTTATAACTCAACGAGAAGATGTTTAACCGTTCTTTAAATACGTTCGAATTCCAGTGAAGTGTAATATTTTGGTTTGTAAGAAAAATACTAATGTTTGTATAAGTTTAACGTAAGATCTTTCCCTGGCTTAAATATAATTTTATTTTAGTACTTTGAATGGGTACGATGACATTATTTTTATCACGCATTTCGTCAATGGAAAATCTTCTTTAAACGCGATTTTATTTTGGACGCAAACATATCTAATTTATATAGTCTAAATTTAATTCGTTTTCTTATTTTATAGACAATTATTTATTAATCGTCATCGAGTTAGAAATAGGTTTGTTACATAATTAAATTGATTTCAAACACAAGAATTTTTGTTTAGCTGTTCCCCGCGACTTTGTTCGCGCGATATTAAAAAATGCTTAATTAGTAGTCTATGTTTTCTTAGACTATGCTTTACTTCTATGCAAAATTTCCTCTAGATCGTTTTGGAGATACCTTCAAACAAACATCTGCATATATATTAATATGAATTATGATATCATAATGATTATTAGAGAGGCTCTTATGAAATTACTGTTCAAACATAGTATTCAAAACAGTAGAACCGTACAAGTAAAAAATAACAGTAAATATTAGTCTAGCTGACAATGTTTGTTTTCATATCTGGGTGCGTTTTGTTTGTTTTCATGCCCTTGGTACTGCATACCAACCCTATTCTCAGCTTATTGCGCGTACTTCAAATACGTCTAGACAAATGTTTTTGTTCATGAAAAAGTTTAGTGTACCTAAGACCTAGTTATTATACAATACCATTGTATATAAGATAGTGTTTTATTATAAAACAGATTTATGTATTTATTTTTTTTGTATATAAAATGTATAAAAGTAAATACGGTACAAATTTTGATTTATCTGTTTAAATATTTAACCAGTGAATTTCACCGCAACACGATCAATCAACTCTCGAATGAATGAACAGCGTAAACGATTCTCAGCTTTTATACGTCGTTTCTTAATATTAACTGTAAGTAATATTATATACAAAAACACTTAACCAATGTTTGTGTAAAAAAAATATTAAAAACTAAAGTTTATTTTTTTATTTCACTGCAATTTCAAGAGAATTTTTGACTACTATTTTGCGGTCGCTTCTCTATTTCGACGTCATAATAAAAAAAGTAATTACGGTGTTTGAAGCTACTCTAAGATTATCCAAGATTATAAAAACACGCTCGCATCTATTCTCGTTCGACGACTTTCGTCAGAGTGTTTGTCTACTTTGCTGTAATATCATATTTTGGAATCTTAGGCAAGCTAAAGATTAACCTGTCGATGTTTTATCATCAAATATTTACAAAAAATATTTATAAGAAAAGATTTCATGAATATTTTAAGTTCTTTTTTTATTACTCACGGGCCTAACCTTAAACCACTTCTGTATTCGCCAAAGAAAATAAAAAATTATTTAATCCATAATAACGAGGTTATTGCAAAGGTCATCAGAATATGAATGCAGATTTATTTTTAAAATAAATCCAAATCTTAATTCAAATGAAATTCAATTTTCTTCCCAATTATCTTAAAAGCTGCATCTACTGTTTTGTTTTATTCCAATTTTCTAAAAGCAACGTTTTATATAATAACTATAAGTATGAATGCATTTATTTATTTCAGAATAACGTTGGAGAAGAGAAATCTTGTGGCTAGTGTTTACGACACGGTTGATTGATTTATTTTTCCTCTAGACATCTATCTGTGAAGTTCATCTATAGCTCCCTGTCATATCTGACATCCCTCGAGGCAGCTCAGTACACTCGACTTATATTGACAAATAAGCTCACTTTAGTCAATATAAAATATTATACGAAGACGTTTCATGTTTTCTTATTTTATTTTTCTGTGATAAAGTATCGCAGATCAGACACTTGTAGATTTGCGCTTACGTAACCGTCAACTAATATAATGAATATGTTTTTATTATTTATTTTAGATGTAGACAGAGACACGTTTCGTCGACTGTCTATTGTTTAATTCTCTTCCTCATTATCTCTTTCTTTCTCCCTCTTGTTCTTTGATTTGATCTTTCATTGTACATTATAATTCGTCTTTTATTTATTAAGGGTAAGACAGAATAATTAAAAACTTATGTCTATTCATGTTGGTGTTATCTACGACAGTTTTTAAATAAACCTGTGTTTCAAAGATGATAATATTCGTGTTGATTCTTTGGAATTAAATTGCGCTTAAAACTGCTGTTACGGTTCATCGTATCAATTGTTACTACCGAATAACAAGAGAAGGTGTGAAGGAACAATATTCATTATTATTGGTAGTCTAATAATTTAATGCTGTCTGGTTTTCCTCGATACTAAATTTCTCCGTTGTAGTACGATAACTAATACAGCTTACGTAGGCGAAAGCAAATAGTGCTATAGGAGATTGTTTCATGATATCTATGCTTTAAATTCTGTACTATTCTGATATAAATATGTAGTTCATCATCATCAGCTCACTATACGTCTACACCGAGGGGCTCGGAGCCTACCCTAAGTTAAGAACGTCGGATAAATGTGCATATGTAAATCGGAAATCGAAAAACACTTTGGTACATGGCGGGATTCGAACCCAGGACCTGCAGATTGCAAGTCAAGTGCTTGGCCTCTGAGCCACCGACGCTCATCAATATGTAGTTGTATACTGTTAATTTATTTTTGTTTAGATTTCCTGTTGCTTTTCTTATAATAAAATTGTTTTCGACGAAGTATCGTAATCTTGATTTCATTTGTCAATTTTATTTAAAAAGTCTCGTTAACGTAAAAAATAGTACGGAAAGTATATTAATTATTTACGTCTGCTTTATCCGACATTAAACCAAGGCAATATTTTATCGACTAGAGAGCTCAGAATGGAATTGCTTGAAAATTACTTGGCTTAATGGATGCCTAGATACGATTATAGCTATTTTCCCAGGCCGTACATTTTCAGTCATGCTCGTAATATAACCATACGGGTTTGTTTATAAGATTTCATAATTAACTTTGACTTCCTTTCATCCGCAATATTTATAATGATGTAGCACAATTAATCAGAGCATAATGTTTTGCATTTGTTCTAAATTCCATGTTTTCCCAAAACATTATTTGTGCCAATATGGATTTGAATTTCGAAAACTTTAATTATGCTTGTTTTAGTCGATATTATAACTACCGTCAATTTTTCAACAGTATAATTTAATTATTTTATATTGAAACCAGATTTCTTTTTAATTTATCTCCATTTCTGAATTACTTTTTTATCATTCTTTAAAGTTCCATTTCCAAGTTAAGAAGTTCCATGTTTGGAAGTACAGATTGTGTTCTACCCACATTAGTACTGGCACACTTGGATGTTATGTTGACTTCGCATCACGCTTAGCTTCGATCTTATCCAGAAACCAGTTTGAAATTGAGTGTTGTAAAAAAAGCCGTAACCTCTTTTGAGAAGGAGAATTGATTATAATAGTATCTCCCTCTCTCAGTTCGTTTTCTTATTTCGGACTATTAAGTCTTCTCATCTTGATCTAATCTTTTATGATCTCTTATACTATGTGGTCCTTCGCAAGCCGGATACAAACTCACCAACAATTTCTATCACAATAAAGTGGCAGAATTCTTGACTTCTGTACTACCAACGGTAATTAAATCAGATATGCAAATTCATAGCACCATAAGTCTCCTTCTGTTTTGAAGAGTGAAGTTATTTTCTTTTTGTTGTGAAACATTTAATTTTATTGTGTATACGCATGACCGACATCAAAAGAGGAAACCCACAATCCACAACAATGGCCGACTATTTAAGTTATCTCAACAAATAACATTTATTTAACCATTTTCTCCGTTAGGGAAAAGGGACCGTAGTCGAAAGTCATTGATATCGTATTTAGAGATATGTCGATACTATATATGTAGCACTTCGTTTGAAGTTTATCTGAGAAGACCTTTTATTTCTTATTTATTATCGAATACCGAAAACGGAGAATATTAATATTGTGCGCTTAATTTAACGTCTCGTTGCGTTTTGAAAACAAAAAACATTTTTTTTAATTAGAAAAATCATTCCATCAAAGTTTTTTTTTTTAATTATGATGACATAAAAATATTCACTTAATTTAAGAAGCGCACAGCAGAACAGTAATGATGAGGAATGCCAACTTCAGCTGATTCGAATCGCAGAGCACTATTATAATAGGTGGGTAGACATGAGCGTCTTCAGCGCGGTATGAAAATTTAAATCTACCGTCTTAAAAAAAATAGTAAAAACGTCGCTTATTACCTAATTATCATAAGCTACAATGATAAATTGCATTGCTCCCTCATTACATTAAACAATTTATCCACAATCGCAAAAAAAAAGTGTAAAATGCTCGTGCGCATCTTTTTTCAACCGTCGAAGTATCCCTCCCTCCCCCCAATCCACCCACCCCTCCCCTTCCCCCCTGACCCCTCCCACATCCCTTCCCCCTTCTCCCTGCCCCCTGACCCCTCCCACATCCCTTCTCCCTGCCCCCCTTTTCCCACCGCCCCCACCACTTCTGGTAAATCCATGTTAAGACCTCAAGATAACTCCTAATTGTACCCCTATTGTCACTTGATCGTGCAAGGCAAAATGCAGTACATTGCATTCAGTGGTTGAGAATTATCCAAATCGATTGCTTTAAATTGATGTTCCGTCGATTTTGTAGTAAATATTTAAATACATAATGATTTACTGGGCCCTCGAGTTATTTTCGGATGTATGCCCTTTACGGATAAGCCTCGTCAATGTTTTCAGTCCACTATTGAACGGACAATTTTATACCAGAATTCAACAGTGGTTCAGTTACTAAAAAAATTCTGGCTGAATCATTATATACTCCGGATTAAAAAAAAATAGAGGTGGTTGCGCACAGCTCTCTTATTCACTGGCAAAATATACGCAAGTTTATTTTTTTTTAAATACATATATTCCCAAAAAAATATCAAATAATTGTAATCCCTTTTTATCAGATTTATTAATTCAATTCTCTTTTTTTTTAATTCAAATCCTTACGTATGTTTGCTAAATGAAAAATTTTAGAAAAGGATTTTTGGGAATATGTTTTTACACATAGTTATTAAAAATGTACAACAGCTTCAATGGAATCGGGTTTTGAAATGAAACTACAGAAATGTTTTTCTTGTGTTCTTTATTTGAATCTGTTCGCTGAAAAGTATTTACTAAAATAGAAAAAAAAATATAAAAATTATCTTCAAAGGCTTTGCGGCTTGCAGCTCAGCTTCAAATAAAAATTTTTAAATATCGCGAAAAAATACTTTCGAATATTTCATTTGAAAGACATAATTCAAATATCTCGTTTCTTGTAACAAAATGTGTGCTCTTTTAAATTTTATGATTTTTGGAGCAATTGTTTACGATTACAAAGAATTTATGATTTAATAGATTGTGGAAAAACGTATAAATAATGACAGTAAGAAAACATCTTACATGTTTCGAGCGCGGAGAACAAAAGCTAAAAAAAAACTGTGTCAAGCTTGGAATAAAAAGACAAAGTAACATTTTTTTTGTATGAAAATAAAAGCTTTGATAGCTTCAAGTAATTAGGAGCACGAGAAAATTTAAATTTCAAAAGATGTTTTTTTAATAAGAAAAGAATCCAGGAATTTTTAATTTTTTTACTGAATGAATGTAACATTAATTACGGAAAACTTTTTTTTTCTTCTAAATAAAATAAAAACAGAGAATATCAAAATAAGGAACATGAAAATATCTAATTTAACAAAAAATAAAATTAAACAAAAAAATCAAACTCAAAAAACTAACTTACCTTTAGTAACTTAACTTACCTTTTAGATGTCAACCTCTGGCTTTGAAGCTCTGGACCCCAATCTTGAAGCACTCACATAGAAGTTGATTAAAGTTTTGAACTTGTCACAATATTCGCATGTTTCCCAGTTGGGCAGAAACAGAGGCGGGTGTTAGTAGACGCGAGACTTTACAGGGCCAGGCTTCGTTCGGAGAGAACCGTCCAACTGGGACGGCTTTCCGCGAGGGACTGATCGCTCCTTGGTAGCTTCGCTAAACGTAACTTCGCTAGCGACGTGCGCAGTTTTACTGCCACACCATACCACCCCAACACCTTACGCCTCCACAAGTTAGCTTACCGCTCCGTTACGCCTTTTTTACCCCACCTGCGTTATTATGATCATTAGTATTGAGCTTATTTTCCATTATATTCATGACAGCGGAATAAATTTAATCAGTATGTTATACGAAATAAAGTCTACTTCTAATGTACCACACTATTAGCTAAATTAGGTGCATATTATAAACGATTATTGTTTTATATTTAAAAATATTTTATATTTTTTAAAATTAAATCAAACGATTTGCTGAGTTACCGTAAAGTTCAGAATTTAAATGATTCACCGAATCCCCTCTATCATTACAAATTAAATCTTACCTCTATAAACATAATAACTAATTTTGTTTGTAACACACAAGTTATAAATGTCTGCTTTTACTTTGATACTTTTAATGAATAAGATAAGAGTTGATTTGAATTTAAAAAGTTAAAACTGTTGTCCACGGATTATGGAAATATAGAAGAGAATAAAAATAATACGTCTGGAGAGAGGTCAGCCTCGGAATCTTTTGAAAATTAGGACTTTTATAGAGAGTACGGTTTTTATTGTTTTTTGTGATATAGATCTACAAATTATTTAAAATACGTATTATCGGACGTCATCATTCTTAATTTCAAAAGGGAAATATAAGAATTAATTCAGAAAATACTTCTTCTGTGTGGAAAATATTCCGTAAAATCTTTTAGAAATAAATGTTCTAAGGAAACCGACTTCAATTTAAAGTTTAATTGGCCAATCAGTTTTAACTGTGTACGATTCAAATTAGAAATAATTTATAGGGTTGTCAAATAAAATAGAAATCATTTAGACTACTGTCAAAATCACGCAACGCAACTTAGTCAGCCCTACACATCACTATTAAGAGCGGAATGGCGTATTTGATTACAATAATGGCGTGAGTAATTTTTCATGTAACTGTTTATACAATTTTGCAAAGTTACTTTATTCCCAAGACATTTTAAATGGACTTAAATTTATTATGCAGCTACGATGAAAGTATGTCGAATATTTTATCTTTCCTCGGAGACTTTGTAATAATGAAAACGAAAGCTTACTTGGAAAGTGGTACTTATTTCAGTTAGTGTTTATTAAAATGAACATTAGATAATATGCGTCAGAAAAAAACTATTTGTCTAAACACATTACGTTACCATGACAACTGTTAAAGACAAAATGTAGTAGAACTTAGAATTGTACTATGTTAATTGAGATATCAAGTTAAATTATATTAATGATAATTTTAATGTAACTACCGAATTTAATAATTTAATGTTAAGACAGCAAATACGACCTTTATCAGCCTTTCATTTTGTTTGAAAATCTAAACCTAAGGATAAAATATTTCGTTCGAAATACTGTTTAAATATTGAGTAATTATTTATCTTTCTATCTTACTAATAAGATAAATTCGAATGTATCTCCAGAACGGCCCAACGGATCTCGATGAAATTTGGCATACATGTAGAACACAATCTGAAAGAAAACGTAAGCTATTCATTTGGTTTTTTTTTCTTAATTCCGAGCGGACATAGTCGCGGTCGATCGCTAGTTAGTTTATCATAAAAGATGGTTTAAATCAATTACAATTTCGAAGATAGAAGAAAATACTTTAATCCAATTAGCTAATGTTTCTTACCTACGTTGTTCGTATTTGAATAATTGACTCATTCCTTGGCCTCGAGATAAAATTTCAATATTTTAAAATCTACTTAAATCTATATTACGTCATCACGAATATTCTCTTGGAAAAATAAAGACCATAATATACAATATTTCAATACAAATTTCTAAGTAGTAGAAAGCTATCGTAACAAATTAATGAGGGAGCGTCAAGTAGCAGAGATAGAAATCTCAGACAGCTTACTAACGTTTGATAGGGCTTATTAACGTAATTTTATATGAATTTTGTTTTGTTTTTCTAATAAAATGATACGTTGTTTTAAAAACTAATCAATAAAATTCTGCTATATTAATATGTATTGGTGATTTTTTATCTTTATGAGTAAGGTATATTTTGTACGCTTACGAAAAAAATTACATTTTGATTTTGATGCCTTGGGAAAAGCGGTAGCACGTAGCAACTGTTACCTTTATCTGTCGTAATTCTATTGTAAAGGACTTAATTCCATTCTTAAACAGTTTTTTTTTCGGACAGACGAGTCAGATTAAATGATCGATGGACTGTAATTAGTTGACATGTTTAAAGTTTGCAATTTTGTATTCACAAAAAAAGAAATTATAGAAATCTTTGTGAGTATATTCATTCTATTATCACCTTCAATCGATTTTGAACTGTGAAGTTCCATTAGATTCGTAGTCTTTTTTCTATAATCATTTAAAAAGAAAAACTACAATAAGTTGAACAAATTTCTTACGTTAAAGCGTTGATCGTTGTATTTAGATAAATTATAATTACCAGCGTTCAAGCTATGCTGGTATAAAGTACGTACACACAAGGAATATTTATGACCGAAAAGGTGAGTTTGTAAATGTGTGTGTACACACAGGGAACTACATCCTTCCTTATCCTTCGGATATAAAGTACATAGGTAGACTCACAAATCGGGAGTGCAAAGGCTTCAAGGGAATTGCTCCCTTCCTCCATAAAATAGGAGCTATCTCAGGCAGGATATTGAGATAAGTCATTTGTGATGTGTATTTGTGAAATAGTACATCGTTTGTTATTTATTTGATATAGATTTTAATTGATTTTGTGCATGCATTATGGATTCGTTAATAATTACGCTATTGAAATTTTAATATGTATAGACCTACAAGGATATCTGATGGTGGCCATAAATCAAACTAAAATAAGATAGCTCACTAGCGCCCTCCTGTCAATGCCAATAAGTTTTATGGGATTTTATTAATATTATAACTGTTCAGTCTTATTTTTTTTTCTTTTATGGCATTCTCTTTGTCTATGTAATGAGGTATTTTTGTTTGACTATAACTCAGGTCGATTTGTATAGTGTCTACGGATTAAAAAATATGAATTAAGAATTATGACGGCCTTAACGATAAGTTTTTTTTGGACTCGTTGCAATTTTTATGCAATATGTTAGATTAATTTCCTACACTACTATTTTGCGTGAAACATATATGACGAAAATATAACAGAAAAATTGTTTTTTTTTATTTCTTATTTAAGCTTTATCTATACAATGTGTAACTTAACGAAAAGGTCAGACAGATCCTCCGCCATTTTGCGTACAAAATATCAGCATGATATTTAATCGAGCCTATTTTATTTAATTATTTATAATTTGGGTGTAGTAATATTTAATATGTTTATATGTTGACATTTTACTTTAATATAATCTTATTATTTTTTAATGCTTTCTTTATGATTACGATGATAACGACGCATATAGGTATAGTTTAAAAAATACTTAACTTAATTTATAAAAGTCTGTGAAAATTTATCTAGCAATTTAGAAAATGTTCTTTATAATGCTTTCGTTTTTTACAAAGGGACTGTTTTAAAATGCACAAAGGGTAGCTAAACAACATTCTTGAAAGGTAGCGCAAAGGCAAACTTAATTATGTATTTTATTTTTTAAACTAGCTATTGCCCAGGACTTCGTCCACGTGTATTACGAATAGCAAAATCTATAAGGAAACATACCCATACCATAAATAAGCCTATGTTACTCCAGCAAACATCGGCTACATTCCATAAAAAATCCCGTCGAAAACGTCCACTTATTTCGAAGATTACCCGCAACGAAGGTGAACTTGCGGACAGATAGACTAAAATTTAAAAAATGCTTTTTTATATTTAAATGTAAAAAAAAATTATATTACATAGTGATTGATACTCCAATTTATTTTATCTGTATAGGTTAAACGTTAAATCCAGTCCTTTTTATTTATCGCCCAGACTAACGATGAGTTTCCACTGTTGAAATACCTGTAGAATAACTTGTTGTTCTCTTTGATTTTACAAAGGGAATAAATCTAATTATCTAGCTTATCTTACAAAGGTTCTTTTTTAGTTGTATATTTTTCTATGATAAAATAAACCTCACAGTATGTTGCAAGTGAAGGCAGCGTAGCCGGCGCGTGTAAGGGAGATTCTCTGAATTAATATAAAAAAAACACCCTGTTGATAACTAGCAAGAAAATTTTACTGGAAAATTACCCGCTGTTAAGCAGAACAATTTGTGATTGATTTTTCTTTTTACCATTGTTATGTAATATTTTGTTCAACTTCAATAAGCGAGAATCCAAGGGACGGAGATATTTGTCTTACAAAAAGAGGTTTCTCTCCTATCTGAAATTCTCGCGTATGGATGTCATCCGTTAGGACTAGACAGTAAATATAAATAATAAATGTATTATAATGTCGACCACACACGATAGGTTTAGCATGACGGTTTCATATTGCACATTTTATCCTATTTTTTTAAATAAAGTTAAATAAATAATTTACTGAAGTTTTCTCACACGCGCCAATGTTGGTCTATAGATTATGCATGTGATAAATAGTGCATAACCTAACCTAAAAATTTAATATTTATTAAAAACAAATCTTAAAAAAACCTTTGATGAGATTTACTGGCTACAGATACTAAAAACTAGACTCGCCTTAGTCTCTGGCGTTAATTAATTAAAAGTTTAGAAGCGCGTTGCTTCACAATACTCTAGATGTTCCTTTGGGTAGCATTGTGTGGGAAACAAACTTTGTACAATGCCACCAATACCGTGATTAAGACGACGTTAGCGATGTTTTTTTTAAGGGCATGTCGCATTTCTAGATCTGATATAGGATCTTCGTCGACGTTATAAAATATTTCTACCAATTAGTTCCAATATGATTTTTTTAACGAAGTCTTCAAGTAAGCTGTGCTGCTATACACGATGTATCTTTAATATATTGATAACTAAATAATT